TCCGAGCCACTAATGCAACACTTCCGATGGATTAGCCACAATTTCTAACCTGTCCAATGAACACGGCTAAATATTTATGGCGTGTATACGGAGGCCAACACATGGAGTCACTTTGAGCCTGATTCATTGATATATGTGCGTATTATACCGCAGTGATGGATGCACTGTCACATGAATTTGCGCTCTGATGCAGACATGGAGAAATATTACGTGCGCAAATTATGCATGAGCTCATGCAAACACCCACAGCTGCCAACGTGGTGTAACACATGTGCTCTCTCCAATGCAGATACACCCGGCTGAAGCTGCAGCTCAATCCTGAGGGGCGCATCCCCGTCAAGAAGTAAGTCTGCGTTTTCTCCCTGATCCACCTGTCTGCGCTTCTCATCTGTGTCTCACCTGTTTCTCTCAGCTCTTTTCAACATGTTTGTGTTTTAGTGTATGAGCGTTCTGTAAGTACAGACTTTAAAGCTCTTTGTCCTGTTTGTTTGTGTGAATTTGTGAGTCATGTGACCAGGTCTTTGACAGACCATTGGCTCTTCCATGTCTCTGCCAAGTTACAAAAGCGCAACTTTCTGCATTTTCATTTGCATCACTTGGCTTTCGGAGAGATATTTTCCCAGCCAACAAAACTAAAAAGTTTCAGCTTCAGTTTTTTGTAGTTTCATAGCTTTCCCAAACTTTGGCTGCCATTTCACTAACCGTATTTTCACGTTTTTCATTAGCGCATCAAGAATCTCATTCTCCAGGTACGCCTCCATTAGTCAAGTGCAGCTTGCAGACAGGCAGCGGTGAACTTGTGAGATAACCTCCCTCAGAGAGAAGCAGTGGGTGTCAGCACAAAGAAGCACAGAGACGCGTCTTGCCGTTTAGGGAATTAACCTCCTTGCTGCGAGGACTTGTCAGCTAGACTAAAGTCAGCTTGACTCTGCTCACCAGCTGTGCATACTGTATGTGCTCTTGGATACCTGTGCATGTAATTAAAACCGGCTATAACCAGCGGAAATAGAATGACGCAGCCAGCAGTGGCTGAACCTACGTGGCGCTTCGCTCTAAATCACATTTATTGTCTAATAAACACAAGAATAAAACAAGGAGCAGCCGCCCAGCCACACAGAAGCACATTCCCTCCCTGCACTCAGGATGACAGATGGCTGCAGACGGTATATTCCTCAGCATTTAGTGAAAAGCATGTATCCGCAGAAGGAGAGATTAATCATGTAAATGTGCTGAGGGTGACATGAGAAATGCACCGTCAAAGTCTCCAGAACAGGGCTGTTTTTCTTTCCTTGTGAAAATGTGACACTGCAGATTTGACGACTCTTTTGCATGAATAATGAAGACGGACGGATCGGTTTGTCTGTATTGACATGTGAATAATTGTTGGTTTATTGCCTGAGAATTAAGATGAGTGAAATTGCAAGGAAGCAGCTTGTTGATGATAAATTAAAAATATTTCATTTGAAAAACAACTGCACATAATATATATATATATATATATATATATATATATATATATATCTGAACTGTTTCTAACTGAATTATTGTAAGTTAACAAGTTTCTGCGTGCAGTGTTGTAAAACGTGGTCTTCCTACCTCATACTGTACTTCGTGCTGTATCTTGAAGTACTGCGAACATCCTCAGGGTTAGTTACAGGGTAATAGTCTGCCTCCATTTCTCTCAACTTTGACATTTAATACATTTAAAATAATGTCATTTCAAATGTGCGTTCCATCTGTGGAGTGTCTCTCTCTCGTTCTTGTTCTCTTTCTCTTGTCCCTCCTGTCACCGGCTTGATGTTCCAACATGAGATTCCTAATGAGTATTAATTGAAAATCTGGTACATTCAACATTGTGAGACCAGGCATGACAGCGAAACGTCTCGGTGTGTCTTGTGTAGTATTTACTGTGATTACTCATAACGTTTTTTTTTGTTTTTTGTGTGCCCCCGCAGTATCTTCAGGATGTTCTCAGCCGACAGGAAGCGTGTGGAGACAGCCCTGGAAAACTGTAACCTCCCTTCTGGCAGAGTGAGACACCGAAAATACAGAATCTCCCCAGCTTTTTTTTTTCTGTTGTCTCTTTGTTTGCCCTCTGTCTCTGAACCGGCGTTAATTTGTGTTACTCCCTTTTTCTCCCCCCTTTCATCTTTTTGACCCCTCCTCCCATCTATTCAGTAATTTGTCATTCTGACATTCAGCCCGTTCCCTCTCCTCATGAAACTGTGGCTGATTGCTGATTTACTCATCAGTTTCGAGTCGCATTTTCTGCATGTCTGCATCGCTTCCCTCAGAAAACCAATCCAGCTTTGTTAGCACGGTGACAAATTGACGCAGAGGGAAAAGTTGAGGTAACAAAAGGCTGTTTTATCATCACCTCGCTCAGATGCCTCTGGAGAGAAGCTGGTCCCTCATGCATGGAGCTATAAACACCCCAACACAACAAACACCGGTTTGTTGCTGTGAAATGCAGTCCACCGCAGCTCTGAACACAGACTGAACCACACTGTTTACCCAAATCTACACACACACACACACACACACACACACATGCACAGGAAAAGCCAGGCCTATTAGTGAAAGAAACCAGGATCTAAAAAAACCAGTGGGAAATGTAGCGCCAGCTAAATAGTAGTAATGATAATCTCTTAACACAGTCTCAGTGGCAAAAGAGCGAGAGTGCATAAAATGGCTAGCTCATACATTTCTGGCGTTGCACATTGATTTGTTGTGGGGCCTGACCTGCATCATCCTCCCCGCGTGTGCATCCTTCCTGCTCCTCTTTCCTCACACTCCTCTCTCTGACCGCTTGGTTCTGCTTTATGTCTGGCTGTGGGCCAGCACGAGCAGACCTGTTTGACTGTGACCACTCTGTAAGGAGCCCACGTGGACAAAGTTTTTTTTTCAATTCATTAATGTGCCCATGTCTGAAATAAGAATTACCACAGTGATTCCCAACCCTTTTCTTGGGCTGTGACCTCATTCTGACATCACAAATTTCTGACGACATTTTAGTAGCTGTCACCTAGGCAGTCATGTGACAGCAGCCGTGCCAGCTCAGATATTTTCATATGCTGATTTGATTTGAACTTGATTAATGTTCATGAAAGTTGGAAGATTAAAAAAAAAAACTTTTTGGAGGTCAGCGTTCTTCTAAACATGCTGCTGCTCTTCTCTGCAGAACGACTCCATTCCACAGGAAGACTTCACTCCTGAGGTGTACAGCATGTTTCTGAGCAACATCTGCCCTCGCTCGGAGCTGGACCACATCTTCTCTGATGTGTAAGAACATCTCCTGAAGTTTTGTTTGGACTGAAGTAGTGCCAAAGTTAGTGCCTGAGTATGAGTGTGAACTGTCTGTATGGCCCTTTGATGGACTGGGGAACTGTCCGGGGAACTGTCCAGGGTGCTGACCTCGCCCTCGCACATTGACCCTTTAGAATTGGCTGTGGTTTTGAAGTGGATTAATAATCAGATGAATAAATTACACAGAATCAGAATGTTTCAACAATCTGACAGTCCCTCTGACAGCTGGTAGCTCTGTCGAAGCAAAATGACTCTGCACGTTTAAAACACTTCTCTTTGTCCATTAAAGCAATAATAAATAATGGACTAGAACGGGAACTTGTGCTGTCACTGCCCTGGTTGCGATCCTTCGAGCCTGGCTGCTGACCCTACATGCTGCAGAACTGCTCCCTGGTCCAAAGAGACTCAGACCATCAGCTGGCCTCTCCTGCCAGCACGAGTCATAAATCTATAATTTAATTACAGTAAAGTGAGAGGGCATGAGAGCCAAGAGGATGTAGATGAAACAGTTTAATAGAACAGGCAGATATGAAACGTGTTTAAACCAGATTTTTTATAATTGTCAAATCATTCTATTGATATCTGCTCTCTAACCAAATCAATGTCCTGCGGAAAATTCAATTTTTTTTTAAATGTGTTCCCACACACATGTTTTCTCTACAGGGGAGCAAAAAGCCATTCGTACTTGACAGTGGAGCAAATGACGGAGTTTATCAACAACGTGCAGCGAGACCCTCGTCTGAATGAGATCCTTTACCCTCCTCTCAAACCAGAACAGGTCCAGCTGCTGATGGACAAATATGAACCCAATCCATCTCTGGCAGAGCAAGGTCAGTCAACACCAAGCAGAATAAGATAAGATAAGACTTCATTCATCCCACACCGTGGAAATTCAGTAAAACCGAGGAAAGTTTTGCACATAACGTAGGGCTCAAACCCACGACCCTGAGATTACGAGTCTCATGCTCTACTGACCTAAAAAATAAATCAATTAATAAAATATATACTGTATATATATATATATTTATTTATTTATTTTTTGCTGTAGAAGGTCGCAGACACCCTAGTTTTTTGTGCTACAGTTTCCATGTTGACGCCATATAATTTGACCCTTTATGTTGGGGAAGACACACGTACCAAATGTAGCTCATCTACTTCTGCCACAGTTTCACCAAGTGCAGCTCTTTTTGACACTAACTTTTTCTAGGATGCCGCAGGACATTTTCAAACCAGTGAGTTTTAAAAAACAAACAAAAAATCCCAGGTGTAAGAAACCTGCAGAAAAACAGTCAAGTTGACTTCACTAGTGAATTTTTTAATAATTCATTAAAAAGCCACAGCTTGCTGATGTACAGACCCACCCATCAGGCTCTGTATTGGTATGGTGGAAAACAGTTGCCAGGCAACTAGTAACTAATTTAAAAAAAAAAAAAACTGTTAGTGTTTTTCTGTATTTACCATGACTAAAATGATACAAGACTAATATAATAATCTCTAGTTCTTTCTATTTAATAATGAAATAATAATAATATTTATTAAACTTCACAAATATCTTTTCCCTTCATCAAGACCTTAAACTAAATACAATTATTGACATTGAAACATACTTTTTGTGTTTGCTCTAAAAATAAAATACACACATGTGTTTGACATTGTCACAGTGTGTGCGTTAGCTCCGCAGCATGTTTTATTTCCAGCTGATCATTAAGTTACTGACCTGATTACAGGCTGCTCATCAAAGGCCCTTCACAACAATACTGCAGACTGAGGAGTCACTATGTGGTTCCACTATATATAGCAAATAACATATGTAGCCTCAAATGCCAATGATTGATTACACCAGTTATGCCGGTGCAATTTTCACCTTTGTCTGACCCCGACTTTTAATGTCTCAAATATAAGTTAAACACCTCTCAAATGACTGCCTTCTTGTTTCTGTCTAATCCGTGACAACATGAGTCACAGGCGCCTAAAATAGTTTCCTTTTTCTCCCGTAATGACATTCAAATATCCTGCTTGCCTGTTTGAATCAGATGCCAGTGATGCGCTTGTGCTGTGATGCTGCGTGTTCATCCTGTCCCGGGCTTTCTGGAAACATGCCCTACTCTGTCTCTGTGACAGATTCCCTCATGTGAAGTATTTATCTAGCCGGAGGAAGTGCTGCCATCTGCTCCGGAGAGAGGTCCAGAGCTCCACATGCAATGCTCACACTCACATTCAGATGCACACACACTTTTTCCATCTCTCAAGGACACTTGATTTGTATGTATATATATATGTGTGTGTGTTTAGAGAGAGTAACCATCATGTTGGTTAGCAAACATGATAGCTGATGTGAACTCTGTTCCAGCTGTTTGACGCTGACATGGAGTGACGTTCGTTTTTAACATCTCTACACTGAAATGATTATTTATGTGTATTATCGTTGTTATCATTTATTTTAAATAATTATGACATTACTTTGTTTGTAATAACAAACACATTTTGCGTGCATGTTCCTTTAAAGTCACTACTGAAACAATTAAACAGTAATCTAACCCAGGTAATACTGGACTCTGGATACTGGATATTCAGAAAAAAAAATCGAATATTTTCTAATTCAGGGCATAGGAGAAAATTGCACTTCCTCTGCTTTTCCTCTTCTCCACTTCACAAATATTCAAACCGTCATCTCATCAGTACTTTGTCATTGTACTAGACAACTCCAGTCTTTACATAATCAAACACTGTGGCAAATTCTGAAGGTGAATGAATAAAATGTGAAATGAAACAAGACGCTTTATCCTGAGTGGGTGGTGACGTGATTAACAATTCACCTCCAGTGGTTTCAAAGAGGAATCTGTGCCTTTTGAAGAGCAGCCTGGATGTTGTAATCCAAACCATCCGTTTGATTTGAACGCATCCTTCAGTGACCTATTCCTGCAGGTCTCCACTTTTTAAATATTATGTTTACCATCACGCCACTAAGCCGTCTCTCAAGTCCAAAACGTTAACACATACTTATCGTGTGTGTGTGTGTGTCTAATACAGAGGTGCGGCCTCATCCTGGCAGAGGCCAGTCCATGTTGTCAGGGGAGAAGATGCTGAGTGTGACTGTGCTCAGATGTCACATCCAGCTTTAATTAGTCCAACAACTCTGCAGAGGGTGGCGCTGCATTAATTAGCATAACGTGGCCACAGGGACCTGCCGTGCGCACGGAGCTTGCATCTTTTTGCATATTTAGCTTGTTAGCAAGTGAGTGTATGTGGGCGAAGGAGGCTACAAGTGTTTTAATTGGCGCGAGGCCCCCGCTGCGCTCCGTCCGACCCAGGTGTGTTGGCTGAGGTCGCATCTCCAATATAAATGTTTGTAGAAGTGAGCGTTCACCTGCGGCTCTTTCGCAGACAAAGTCACTGAGTTTGTGAGCTCAGTGTTGACAGAAAAAGAAAAAAAAAACGTGAGTGACCTTGACAAATAATAAAAATAGACAAAACAAGGATAAAAACCTCACAGGTGACTCACATCCCTGTTGTTTGACTTACAGCGGTGTCGCTAGAGGTGAGTCAAACCTGAAATGCTGGAAACGTTTATTAGTTGGTCCATCTGCCTTGTGAGTGTNTACCACCCATTTATCCTCTGCTGACCCCTAAAAAAAAAAACACACCAACAGCCACAGTGTAAAAAACCGAGAGTGGAGCACAGGCTTTAAGGATTATCTACAAAGGCTTTCAGCGAACACTAACTTGAGCTTTGTGCAGAATTAAACCGCTAATGGAATCTCAATGTGGCTTTAATTAGCAATTATAAACATTTTTGTAATGAAACCTTTGAAGGCGTTCAAACAGAGGCTTTGAGCCGCTCATCTGAAAACACCTGCAGTATTTTTTAGCACTTTGTGTGAACATGCAAACCTCCGACTCTTCAAACACACAGCGTGAAGAAGAAGGAGAGCACTGACCAAATGACAAAATGTCTGTTCATAATCGGTCCTAGTAACTTTTCTGTTGCTTCTTTGGCTTCACACAGGTCAGATCTCCATGGAAGGCTTCGCTCGGTATCTGCACTGCGAGGAGAACAGCATCATTCCACCTGAGAAGCTGGACCAGAGCGAAGACATGACCTTTCCCCTCTCTCACTATTTCATCAACTCTTCACACAACACGTACCTCACAGGTACGTATGAATCCCATCAGTAAAAACAACAGCATCTTACACGAGCAACTCTGTTTTTACGTGATCTTTTTTTTTTCCACCTGACTGAGTCCATGACCCAAGCTCACATCCTCCTCCTCCTTCTCCGCATGAGCAGATCACTCGTTAGCGTAGAAACACATTTACAGTCCCTCAAGTCAATGCATCCTGCCCTGCACTTCGCAGGTCGGTCCATCAAACGCAGTGGTGCGTATCAGCGCCCCCATGACTGCGTTATTTTGCAAGAGCTTATCCAATCAAGTCGTGCCATGAGACTGGGTTCATTGATATTCATGAGTTAAATATTTCTTTGGAGTAGGAGTCACAGTAACTGGCTCCTGGCAGGGCACGAGCATGACAGCACAATACAAAGACCGTTTTCTCTTCGACGCTTATTAGAATTCATCTATTCAAATCTGCTCTCGGTGAAACTGGGGAGCACGGAATCTTTCAAGTGGATCAAATTTCACTAGCAATCAGAAAAATAGAGATTCTGTTACGGAGAAGCCTTTTTTAATCGCCTAAGGAAATGTAAAAACAAACAACAGGTTCTTGATTCTGATTCTTCCTGTTTTCTTCCCCAGCGACGGTTTTAACCTGGAATCTTGTGCTCACAACCAACACTAACTTATCAAATCATTGTCTTAATTTGTTAATATAAGGTAAGAAGAACAAAATATGTGCTAGGAATGAATGGGGCGATAAAAGTTTCTGGGGGAAAAAAAAGTGAGAATAAATGAACCCACAAAACGTGACATCACAGCCCTGCCTCGCACTTTGTGGGGAAGTGTGCTGCTAATGCAAGGAGATAATTGCTCCCCTAATGGTGACAGTGTGATGAGATTTGTCTGCTTCAGATGACGCCATCTAAATTGTTTCTACTGCCAGCTAGCAGCTAATGCGGTTAATGAGCTCTTGAAAACTAACAGGGAGAGGGTCGTGGCTCTGCGGGCGTCTTGTTACTTTTCAAGATCAATACATTTATCTGAAGTTTGTTTTCTCTCTCTCTCTCTCTCTCTCTCTCTCTTTGCATCGTGTTGCAGCTGGTCAGCTTGCGGGGAACTCTTCAGTGGAGATGTACAAGCAGGTGCTGCTGTCAGGCTGCCGCTGCATCGAGCTGGACTGCTGGAAGGGTCGCACCACCGAGGAGGAGCCTGTCATCACCCACGGCTTCACCATGACAACTGAGATCTCCTTTAAGGTAACGCGGGGAGAGCGGATAACCGCAGTGACAGAGTCTACGTACGTGTTGCAGCTGGTCAGCTTGCGGGGAACTCTTCAGTGGAGATGTACAAGCAGGTGCTGCTGTCAGGCTGCCGCTGCATCGAGCTGGACTGCTGGAAGGGTCGCACCACCGAGGAGGAGCCTGTCATCACCCACGGCTTCACCATGACAACTGAGATCTCCTTTAAGGTAACGCGGGGAGAGCGGATAACCGCAGTGACAGAGTCTACGTACAGGAAGAAGAGGCTCAAACCTTTTTTATTCCAGAGATGGTTTTAAATATGTTTGTGAACAGAAAGAGGAGGTAACCACATGTTGACCATATACAGTATGTACAGTGACACGGAGGTAGCCACCTAGCCGTGGCGATTCGGCACTGACCCCGTGACATCCCTGCTAAGGTTTTAGTGCCTTTAGTTGGTAGAGAGTCCACCATTCTCCCTTCATCCACGTCATCGTATTTGATTTACAGGGACATGAGAGAGCAGCTGAGACACAGCTCTGACCTTGAAACACAGCATTCTCCAGCTGATGCGCGCGCCACAACACGACACAACCGCAGAAAAGATCAGGCAGTTCATTGAATCCAAAAATGAATATTGGAAGGTTTCTGCTCTCCTTACCCCATGTCTAAATATAGCATGTGTAGAGCAGAGCTGGTCCACAAAGATCCTCAGAAAAGTTGAAAGCAGAACTTTTCCTACTGGAGCAGCCATGTTGGAATTCTGTTTATTTACAATGAACAGTCAAAATAGAACACGGAGACATAGAAAAATGCCTTTAGCCAATTTTACAATATAATAATAATAATAATAATAAATAAAAACAAAGCTTGCATTGTGTTGCAAACTAGAGTAGCATACGATAGACTGAAGGTGGATAGAATTCCATTTTTTGTTTTAGAAAAAGCGAAATGTTTTTTTTTTTTTTATCAGAGCTGCTCTGAAAGCTGAAGCGGAGCAGAGTCAGACTCAGACACAGCAGGATTTAGTTGAGGGATTGGTCTGGTGGGGTGTCGATGCAGCGACTTTTCGAAGCTGCTCCTGATGATTATGATGACGTGCGGCGGCGGGTGACCTGACTTCACTCCTGCAGTCAAACCCAGACACTCACGCAAGAGAAGAAGAAAAAGGAAGAGGAAGTAGTGTCACTAGCTAAATAAAGGCAAATAACCTATTTATTCCTAGACTAGTCAAGCTGAGTTTCTATCACACATGCTGTAAAAGACCAAACACAGCAAAAAAGAACCAGAACTGGTAAAACAGCCAGAAAACAATAAAGCTCTAAAATGGCTGAAATAACTTAGAAACAAGTGAACACAGTGGAAACCAGTGACAGAACAGCAGGTAAAAATAAATCAGGATGCAAATAAGAAAACAAGGAAGTAAAAAACAACAAACATCTAACAGTAAGAAATTAGGAAAGCACAGGAAACTCACAAGGCCATAACCACACAAGATATATGAAAATAAAATAGTATTTTTTTTTTTTTAATAATGGACTGGTAAAAAGTCTACTGATAAATGTGCAGTGGATGGAAACGTTAAAACACACATTTATTCTCAGCTCTGACATTAACTCAGAGAACAGGAATGCAAAAATCAAATTCAGCTCCAGCTTTATTTTAATTTAGACGCGGAAATTGTTTGTTGCAAGTGACAGAGTTTTCCACACAACTAAACATAATAATAATGGCGACAACTCAGACGTGTCAAACGTTTGAGAGTCTGAATACCAAAACAGAAAATGAACGCCCCCGTCTTACTCACTTTGAAAGACATTCTGTTGTATTTTATTCTTTTCATGTCAACCAGGGACAATTTCAGGTTTGTAATAAAGGTATGCCACTTTGTAGCTCTGTAAAAAAAGCAACAGTTAAATCCTTTAATTTTTTTTTTTTTAACTAAACTAAACTTTTTTTGCTGTATTTATTTGGAACTCATTCAGTAAATTCTAGCCAATACAGGACATAAAAAACCTTGAAATTATCCTTTTTAAGATCGCTAAGGCAAGTAAAAAAAGCAAATTCATCTGATGGCAAATAGTAAAAGACAAGAATGTGTTCATTGATCATAAGAAGAAGTGCTGAGGGGCATTTAATACATGTTTTAAAGATGAGAAAAAAAGGAGCTTTGGAGAGGGGGCAGAAACGAGCCATAAATTTTAATAACACCGTCAACAAATCGTAACGTAAACAAGTCAAGTAAACACATTACCAGAGCCCGAGCTAACGCAATGCGTAACGCTCAGTTTGGGAGCGTGGCGGTGCTGAATTTATTACCGCTGGCTCCATATGCAGATCACTAACAATTGACTGCTGACCCAGATGAAGGGCTGATTGTAATCCTAAAAATTTATTAACCAATTTCCATCCATTAAATGTAAAGCATTAGTCAAACGTTGCACCGTGGCCTTATAAACCAAGTAGTAAGAGCGGTCCCTGGAGTTTGATTCCATCATTAAGTCATTCAGCAGCAGTACACAGGATGTGCCTTAAGTTTCTGCAAATCACACCAATAACATTAGGTGTGGCAAGCAAATATCTTCAGTATTCCTATGGAGAGGACATAAAACATTACGAAATCAATTGCAGTATTAACGACGCAGAAGAAATAGCTTAAAAGGTGACACGTGACCTGGTGTAAGCAGATCCTGACCCTTCCCCCATCTGGTGTTGCCTTTAAATCCATTTTTTCCTCTTTCCTTAGGGCTTTGAAGGAAGCTGGTGTCCTTTTGCTGCCCCCTACTGGTTTTCAATTCTTATACTTGAAGTTCTCTAACAAAAGTGACTTCAGTGGAGAACTGAAAAACATGATCATTACCATTACATTACTGATTGCAATCTGTTAACAAGTCCCACCTTAAAGCTACAAGAGACAGCGGCACAACGATGAATTACTTCGATAAACAATTTGGTTTTTTTTAAGGCTCACAAATGGTATCATTGCCACGGTACCTAACTACTATAATGAATCCTAATCAGGTTTTAGATGGAGAGAAAAAACAGATCGGTAAAACAGAGTGAAATCGAATGACATTGCAAACAGGATGTCGATCCTTTCACTGAAGGAGACGAGTTTATAGAAAAGAAAGGGATGACGACAATGAGCCGGTTGTTTTTATTGAGACGGAAATATTAGCTGAATGAGAGAAACTGAAAAATGACCAAAGTGAATTAGCGTGAAATTAGATGTAATGAGAGAGAGGAAGAAAAGACACAGATGGAGAGGGTGGTGTCGGAGACAAAGGTTTTTTATTGGAGGAGATTGGCACCAACGGAAATGAGGGCAATAAATGCATTGGCACTACTGATAATGATGCTGTAATCTCGATAGACAATCACTAGCTTGGAAATCTGATATTAGAGAACCATTTGAAGGGACACAAACCACTGAAGATGCAGTACTGTATGATAGTCACTAAAGGATTGGACCTAATTTTCCAGAAGGAGAAATATTCAGATTACAGTATAGAGTTGTAGAGAAGGTCCACTGCACAAATACCACGACGGCTAGCAGTGAACACTGGAACAAACTGTTCAGGCTTTGGAGATTAACCTTTCCCTCTTCACACTATAGCTGTTGCTTTCACCCACTGTTATCGATTTTACTGGACGTATGCATGTTGTCAGGGGTTAAGAATACTAATTGGTGGTTCCTTCATTCAACAGTCTCCATGTCTTTGTATGTTTTTGCTGATCCTTCAGGAAGTGATCGAGGCCATCGCCGAGTGTGCCTTCAAAACCTCACCCTTCCCCGTCATCCTGTCTTTTGAGAACCACGTGGACTCGTAAGTCAACAGATCGATTGGTGTCAGACGTGTTGAACGTCCGACTGAATGTCGACCTTATCAACGACTGCTGTCTGTCTTTGGATTGTTCATCAGCTCTTTTGTTTTCTGTCTGGTAACACGGACACTGCACGTACATTGTGCAGTTTGATATTTATGGTGAAGGCACGTTGTGTGTGTGTGCGTGTGTGGTCTGTTTTTTTTTACCTACAGACCTAAACAACAGGCAAAAATGGCCGAGTATTGCCGCTCCATATTTGGCGATGCGTTACTAATGGAACCTCTGGAAAAGTATCCGGTAAGAACATAGTTTTCCTTGGAAAAGTTCCTAAAAGTCAATATAAAGTTAGATCTTTACTAAGTTTATATCTTCATTCTCTCTTTCTATATATACATAACATATATAGTAGGGTGTAAGGTACACATTAACATTCATCTTCTTAGGAATCTTAGGAACCAATATTTCTTTCTCTTTACGTGACAACCTCCCCTCTCTCTCTCTCTCTCTCTCTCTCTGATCAGTAATAAATCAACATGCCTTTCAGCACCTAAAAGAAATACAATGTCATTCCTTTTCCTTATCCTATCAATGTTGGACTGCTCCAGAATGGACTCCTGGACTTTATCTTTGACTTCTTTACTCTCGCTCTCATTGTCTCCATTTTTTCATTTTTATTTTCAACCACAGGCACAAACAAACACACAGATACCTACAGTATGTAGATGTGTGTCCCCCTGAAGCCATCTTTGAATGATTCCTCCCACAATCATTTTAATATTGCCTCTCTGTTATCGTGGCGGAGTCTGCCAATGACAGGCGAATAAGATTAAAAGGAAATGTTTTACGCTGTAATCTAAACGTGGCTTTTCTTGGCAGACCTTTTTTTTCCATATCTGTCGCTGTTCTGTTGCCATGGCTACCGGTCAAAAGCTTGCGTTGTCCCTTTGTGGCCAAACTCTTTCTTTTTTCCCACCCAAAGCAGCCTTTGTGTTAAATGACTCAGGCACTTATTTTGAGGTAACCGTGGGCACTTGTCGCAAAAGCTCTCACACTTGCTCCGTCTGGTGCCTTTAATCCTGCGCACATATACACTTAAACATACCATTTACTCCTGCGCTGTGATTCTCCAGGGAGGACTTGTCCCTGTCGGTAAAACACTACAGACAAGCTCAAGTTTCCAGCAGTCAGTTTCAGCATTATCTCTCACATGCAGGGAGCTTCTCCACCCGTGCTGCCGCCAAAGACACAGGCCCCTGAGAATCACAGCCAACTAACTGGATTAGGCTTTGAAGCATTATCAGGGAAAAGCTTCTCTCTTTTTTCTCAAATGAGTGGCACTGTGAAGGAGAAGGAAGGAGATACAAAGGGGTCGGGCACCAGGGGAGGGATGTTGAGGAGGGGAGATGCTAGTGAGGAATGAGATTTCTACCACTGAGCGTGTAATAACAGAGAAAGGTGAGTGCAATGACAACCACTCCCCTCTGGCGTGCAGACAGCTGTGTACACCGTGGAGCCAACCGGATATCAGCTCCACTGGATCATGGGTTCAGGGACAGACTGGGCGAAATGGGCTACGATGGTTTCACCTGTGGCATGGGTGATTGTTAGGAGGAGTTCACCTTTTACTGCATTCACACACCCTACAGTAAATTGGTATATGTCGTGATTACATTAGCACAGAGCTGTCAGCTTGTTAGGCCACAGTAGTAGTTATGCTAACAAGCTCTCTATTGGCCAAATTTTTACATAATAGTAAAAAATATCAAATATGTTTTGTAGCAGTTGCTTTTTTTGTTATGGTTGAATTTCAAGCAGTGAATGAACTAATTGCCAACGAGGCACTAGTAGGAAAAGAGTCCGTTTTATATATACATATAGACATTATTTGATTATAGGCTTATTTATTTAACTACCACATATGGTGGTGGATGAAGAAGAAAGATTGAATGTCAACTTTGTGTTTTGTTTTTTTTTAACACATCAGACATCCCGTTACATTGAAAGCTGATAAGTTGTAAAAACTCAGATTGTGTGAGTATTCAACAACCAGCCTGACTTTTCAACAATACATTATAAATATCCCTAAACACAGTGATCCCAGAGTAGTGTACACCATGAATAAATCAGGAGGCTGTCTGCTTCCAGCCAGATCCACTGAGAGACTGTGTATTTATGTTCACTTTCCCCCAAGAAGCTGCTTTTTTTGTTTTGAAAGTGTAAACTCATGAGTTGGTTACATCAACAGGTTTTGCATAGCTTCAAGGTGAAACTCAGTCACGTCTTTCTATCTCTGGTGAATTTGGAGGGGGAAGAAAAAAGTCCTTCCTATCGCTGCCATTATTTTGCATGTTAATTTGTCTGCAACGCCTCTGTATAATAACATTAACATTATGGGGCTTCTCTCCAAGTGGCAACAATTAGAGTAAACTCTACAATAAGATGAGTTTATTTGTACATTTATCTTGTGCTGGTTATTCTAAATAAATATTAAATTGCTCTCGTTATTTCTAAGCACAAGCTCCGTCTCCCTGTGTTTATCTAGTTGGAGTCTGGAGTTCCACTACCGAGCCCTATGGAGCTGATGGGTAAAATCCTGGTAAAGAACAAGAAGAAACACCACAAGACCAATGGAAGTACCAAGAAGAAGCTGTCTGAGCAGGTGTCCAACACCTACAGTGATTCCTCCAGTGTGTGTGAGCCCTCCTCCCCCAGCGCAGGTACACATACACAAGCACAAACACATACTCTCATCCCCTAACCAGAATCATCATGTCACTTTGGGACAGCTGAGTTATGATGTTTCAGATGGTAAATGTAGCCTAACAGTCTGGTTTTCTGTGGGCCGTGGACCGACACCTCAGCGCTTCCCAGAAACGCAATCACTGGAGCCAAACAGTGCTGTTGTTTATCATTTGTCATTTTCATGGCCCTTTCCATCAGCTGAAGATATTATTGGCTGTTGCATACAGTCCCCGTCAGACATGCATGGTGCAAGTCACTGGGGCGTCTTATGCACAAGCCAGCAGTGACCTTCAGTATGTGTCAGTGTGTGTACTGAGTACTGCATATCTCAATGTATGTATTCTTATATTCCCATGACTTTTCTTTCCTGTAAAATTTACACAGTCGCTCAAGTCTACTAACAGCACATACTGCATTTATCATCACAATATTTGATATTTGTTCCATTACAGCACAGCTCATACTTTATACTACTCTTTTTTATTCAAAACCGTGTATTCGGTGGATATTTAAGACATATGCTACATAGCTGTACATCACTGCGAAGGCTCTTAATTTCCCCAGCCACTACTGTCATTCATTCATGAGCACATGCTGCCCCCTGGTGTCAACAAATGTGAAGCACAGAAGGTCTGCCTGTTGCATAACACTAGTTGGACAGAGGTCGCCTGTGCTGACCCTTTCTCACGGGTCACTTTAAAAGGGAAAGATTTATTTCTGAGGTGTGAAAGAAACTGTGAGACAGTGATTTGTTTTATCACAAAGGAAGTGGACACGGCAGGTTCACCTCATCTCTTTGCTTCTGTCTAAAAGGGAATTTCATCTAATTGTTAAACTTGTAAAAACCTCACGTCTGTTGAGATTGTGTGTCTTAGAAGTTTCACTGTATTTCTAATCACCTTTTTTGTATTTGTCATTTTTAGTTTTTCATTTATGACATTTTGGCTTATTTTAAATACAACATGTGGTACTAGATGTACAATGTACAAAATAAGTCTTCTTTGTGTTTACAATATCTTCCAGAGTTTGAGTTGAACCAAAGTTGTTGTTGGAGAAGGACATTTTTTGATTTGTTTTGTGTGTGTGTGTTCTGTGCCTAGGTTCAACCAAGGAGGAGATGGCAGATCCTTCGCAAACTTCTGAGGGCGCCGAGCTCAACTTGAGGCTGCAGGGCAGAAAGTCTATTGGTGAGTCATACATAGTACATGACCTCAGACACGGAGGGAAATCTTGAGCAGAGCTCTCATTAGGCCGCCACAGAAGCTGTAGGTCACTTCCACCGTTATGATGATTCATTTCCTCGGTCAGTGTGACCTCAGATTCAGTGGGAAACCTTCAACAGATCTTTCATTATGTGGGTGCAGGCTGTGGCGGCTCCACCTAAGCACTGTTAAAGTGAATTCACTCCACACACACACAGCCCTGTGTGTTCAGCTACCATTGTTGACCGTGACTCTGCCACTGGTTGTCACTATAACGCCTGGTCCATCTTGCTTTAGTGTGATGCCTAATTTGTCGCCAATGTTTCAGGTGAAGTGGAGGCAGAAAGTGAGGATGATGATGACGATGATGATGACTGTAAAAAGGGCTCAATGGACGAGGTGTGCATCCTATCTCAGCAGTTGGATGATGTGATGTGTTTACGGCTCTGTGTGCCACCAATGTCATGCATTTGTCTGTGTGTGTGTGTGTGATTTTACAGGGCACGGCCGGCAGCGAGGCTTTTGCTACAGAAGAAATGTCCAACCTAGTCATCTACATTCAGCCAGTGAAGTTCAACAGCTTTGAGGCTTCCAAAAGTATGAAAAACAATGTTGTTCATCAAAGATATTTTTACTATATTCTGAATCTCAGTGAAAGACTCGGTCATAAATATTACAACTTTTTTGGCCATTTGTTTAAACCCTTCATTGTGAGATAATATTTCATTCCCTTGCTGCGGGACTAATAAAATGTCTCTTATTGCTGTGGTGCAGAAATCAGTCGCAGCTACCAGATGTCGTCCTTCGTAGAGACTAAAGCTTTGGAGCAGCTGACAAAATCCCCTGTGGAGTTTGTGGAGTACCCTTTTTCACCAGCAGTAGTGCTGTGCTTTACATCATCTATACTTTGAGAGATTTTTTCTCTCACTGAAGGATAAATAGTGTACTGTACTGTTATTTTTAAGTGACATTCAGTAAATAATCATCACTCCTGTTGAATGTACCTCCAGGTATTCAGTGCAACAGTAAACTGAAAACGTGTACAGCCTCACCCTTAACACAGCTCTGTTCAGATACAACAAGATGCAGCTGAGCAGAATCTACCCTAAAGGCACACGAGTGGATTCGTCCAACTACAACCCTCAGCTCTTCTGGAATGCTGGCTGTCAGCTCGTAGCTCTCAATTTCCAAACTATTGGCAAGTTTCACATTCCTTTAACTTTTGCAGCCGGAGAGTTTGCGCATGTTGTAATAAAGCCGTGCTGTCGTCACCCAGCAGATCTGTCCATGCAGCTCAACCTGGGCATGTACGAGTACAACGGCAAATGTGGGTACAGACTTAAACCGGAGTTTATGAGACGACCAGACAAACACTTTGACCCCTTTACTGAGAGTACAGTGGACGGAATAGTGGCCAACACGCTGTCTGTGAAGGTATACAGTAGACCCTGGTGTGTTTGTGTTCTATTTTAACAGCTGTTGTTATAGATCTGTCCTTTTCGTCCGTCTTTCTTCATTTTAGATCATCTCAGGCCAGTTCCTGTCAGACAAGAAAGTGGGCACATACGTGGAAATTGACATGTTCGGTTTACCTGTGGACACCAAGAGGAAAGCTTTTAAGACCAAGACATCACAGGGCAACGCCATCAACCCTGTCTGGGAAGAGGAGGCAATTGTATTTAAGAAGGTTAGAGAAATTTGTTTTCAAAGGGGATCCAACAGGGGGTAGAATGGAGCAGTGGTAGAATCACACCTCACTTTGTTTTTGTCAAAATGATGGTCGACCACTGGACTGTTGTTTTATAAGAATGAGGAGTTTCATTGCTGTGTTTTCACCATGTCCTCAGGTTGTTCTGCCCACACTCGCTTCATTAAGAATAGCTGTGTTTGAAGAAGGAGGGAAGTTCATTGGCCACAGAATCATTCCTGTTTCGGCCATTCGTCCAGGTACGTTTGAATTCCAGGTGACCCCAAGGTTGAAAACACTGCTTTAACAAATGGTCTCTTTGTTATGTTTTTTTTCTCAAGCATTTGATGTTTCTATAAAATATTTTTCCACTGACGGATGTTCATCTGACTCCACCCCAACAGGCTACCACTACATCAGCCTGAGGAATGAGAAGAACCAGTCGCTGACGCTGCCTGCTTTGTTTGTGTATGTAGAAGTGAAGGACTACGTTCCAGACACATTTGCAGGTAAATCACAGACAGAGTTTATTTCCAAACGTAGAGCTACAAATTCAGAGTCATTATATGCTTCAGAAATTATTTATTTATTTTCTTTCCAGATGTCATCGAAGCTCTGTCCAATCCCATTCGCTACGTAAACCTGATGGAGCAGAGAGCCAATCAGCTCGCTGCTCTCACCCTGGAAGAGGGAGGAGAGGAGGATGGTGATAAAGAGGTGTGTGTGTGCATCTTCTAAACATTTGTTGTTGTTTTTTATATTTAACTAAATGTCTGCGTACAGAGGTTTTAGTTACAGTACACATCATCATAATAATAATCGCAGTCAGCTCCGTAGTCCTTTTGTGGATTATGAATCCTGCTTGTTTCCAGCACAGATCCCTGCAGATATTATCCAAACACTTTGTTTGGACCTTTTTTCATTCCCGGGCCTGTGTGATGAAGTGCACAGCTACTGCAGCTGCAGCAGTTTTGTGGCTGCTTCTCATCAGGTTCTCTTTCACCTGCAGCTCTAAACGCTCACTTTCCTCTGGGAGCTGTGTTACTGTGACCGCGTGTAATTTCACTGTGATCACTCACATTCACACACTACAGCAACAGTGTTTGGAACAACATTTTAAATAATACATGAAACTCTAGAAGTGTCTTTTTTTATATATTAATGATTTTTAAAAGGTTCAATAAAAAAAATAAGAATATGGAATAATGGCTGAGGACGGAACTATTCCGAAGTCAGGTTTTGTAGTTTGGAGGCATAGCAGGACAGGAGGTTATCACAGGTTATTAGAAAGGAGGGGATATTCCTCTGGGGCTTTTTATCTGATTTGTCTGCTGATAAGATTTCCCATGAGGGCGGCTGACAAAGAGTGGATTCATGCTGTGACCATGGCAACAGGCACCAGAAGAGGTAGGACACTGAAGGTGCTGCACAGCGTGTAGAGATGAATGTAGAAAGAGTACGAGAAGACAGGCAGAGATCCATCAGCTCCGACTGGAATGAAGATTATTTAAAATTTGATTAGTTTCTCAAGATACGTATTGTTCAAGACTCAGCCTAGCCGTGGGGGAAATTATCTGCTGAAGCTCGGCACAGGGAGCAATGCTGAGAGTGGGCTACCAGAGCTATGTCTACAAACTGTCCTGCAGGACACAGGTACAGAAAGAATTTGTGTCTAAGTTACAAAATCTTGAAGGGTGAAGTTTTAATCTGCTGACCTTTAAAATATTCTAAGAGCCGATTGTTGTTACATGATGTCACTGACTGGTGGAACTGATCAAAATACTGCATGTCAACAGGTGGAAGCAGGAAGTGATGCACCATCAGAGTCCAAGCTGGACCAGAGAATGACTTCGCCAGCAGAGAACGGCGTGAGCCACACACCTGTTATTGCCCCCAAGCCTCCCTCAGTGGTCGGACAGACTCAATCTGCAGGTGTGGGAAATGTGAACCACCAAAACTATATTGCACTAAAGAGTTTTTAATCCTAGCAGAATATTATTTTTAATGCATTTCCACACTTCAGAAATACTGCGTCAGACACTCACTCTTCTGATAGTTTCCTGAGTTTATTTGTGTCGTTGTTTAAACAATCTACGTGTTTGTGTTTGGTAACCAGGATCTCTGAAGCCGTCGGTGAAGAGTGAAGACATTATTCAGAGTGTTCTCACTGGTAAGGTGACACTTTCAAGCCTTTGTCTCACAACAACTGTGTTACATTTGACATTTCATTTTATCACCTAAAATAAACAATATAATTCTTTAAAGAATTAAAGATAGCCTATTATTTTTGTTACACATATTCAGATTTCATCCATCTTCCCCTGCAGAAGTCCTTGTGTAGAGACAATAAGTTGTAATGTCGTTTGTCTGCATCTTCCACACTTATTTATGTTCAGAACTGGAGGCTCAAACAGTGGAGGAGCTGAAGCAACAGAAGGGTTTTGTCCGGGAGCAGAGGAAACAGTACAAAGAGATGAAAGAGCTGGTTCGGAAACACCACCGCAAGACCAGCGAGCTGATCAAGGAGCACACGGCTCGCGCATCAGAGCTGCAGAGCCAGCATCAGCGCCGGCGCTCGGCTCTGCAGAAGAGCCACAAACGAGAGGGTAAGAAAAGGTAGGTGGCGCTCCTTTTTTTCTACTGTCCAAACTGCTGTGGAGTCAGAGAACTGACACAGATTATTTGTGCAAGTAGCATGGAATGACAATATTTAAAATCCTTCATATCCAGATTTGTTATTTTCACTTGCTTATGTGTGTTTTTCAGCCGGTCAGAACACTCCCTGTCGACCCTGGACCAGGAGCTGAGTGAGCTGGATCAGGAGTGCAACCAGCGGCTGGCGGAGCTGAAGGAGCAGCAGCAGCAACAGCTCCTCACTCTCCGTCAGGAGCAGTACTACAGTGAGAAGTACCAGAAAAGAGAGCACATCAAGCAGGTATTTCATTATATATTCTTTTTGGAACGTCTTTATTTGGTGGACCATGGGTTTTTTTTAATGTAAAGCATTTGCTGCGGCTGAGAAATGTTTGGAGAGTTAAACAACACAGTAGGATCAACAGACAAACACACACACACACAGGTAAAGGCTGCCCAAACTTGTACTGATGTCTGGCACAGCACTCACAGTCTCCTGTTACAGAGCTCAGAGCTGATAAGGATTTACCAACGGATGAATGAACGTTGCTACAGACTCTTAGTGCACATTCAGCTGTGTGTGCCATGGAAAACCAACAGGACTCTGGTCTGGTGCTTCTCTATGATGAGCACAACTGAAGTGTAAAAACTGTTGTCGTTGTTGTTCATCCTTGAGTTTTCCGTGTCACTGTCTCCTCTACAGCTGGTGGAGAAGCTGACCACCATAGCTGAGGAGTGCCAGAGTGCTCAGCTGAAGAAGATCAGAGACATCTGTGAAAAGTAAGATATATTATTTTATATATAAGAATAGAAGTACATATTGCACGAACACACGGCCAAGTTCTTTAAGCCTTTAAATAACCTTGCACTGTTCCAAAGGGAAAAGAAGGACCTGAAGAAGAGAATGGACAAGAAAAGGCAGGAGAAAATAAACGAGGCCAAATCCAAGGACAAGAATGTGACAGAGGAGTACGTTTCTGAGATTAATAGGAATTTGGAGGAGAAAAAAACATTTTTATTTTGGCTTTGCGTCATACACTTGTTTGACCACGTGATGTCACCACATACTAACGTATCGACACACTTGACTGTTCTTAAAACACTGTCATCTCCATTGTCATAGAGAGAAGCTGGAGATCAACAGATCGTTTGTGAATGAAGTGGTCCAGTACATCAAACGGGTGAGAGAAGATATGACGCAGCTGAAATCAATATTCATTAATATATATATATATATATCACAGTTATACAGTTATTAATTAATGTGACGTCTCTAATGTGTGTGATGCTGCAGTTGGAAGATGCACAGAGTAAAAGACAGGAAAGACTCCTGGAGAAGCATAAGGACATCAGGCAGCAAATCCTGGATGAACGGCCAAAGGTTTGACATTGTTTTATTCATTCTATCATGTCTTTTATAGCCGTGCACACAGTGTTTTCATGCAGGGTATTTATGTAACATTCTCTCTATATATTTGTGTACTAATGATGTTTTTAAAATACATTTTCTAAGATTCACAGTAACATCAGGTTGTTTGATCAAAGACTTCCAAATTGTAACCACTAGATGGCAACCTGCACTAATGTATTGATAGAGGTGGACAGTCTCCTGGTGAAACTTTCAAACGAGTGGCTTCAGCAGATGCTGACGTTTTAACGGCTGTTGTTTCCAGAGGTTACTGATGAACTGGGCCGACTGTGACTCTCCATCGTTGTTGTTGTTGTTGTGACTGTCTTTGTAGGATGGTTTAACAGCTGAGGAGAATGGTAAGACCGTTATTGCATCCCGGTGTTGACATGACAATAACATCAGCCTAACAGCACTAATCTGCTAGTTTTAATGCACCGAGCACACTGACTGCAGCCAGAGAATGTGCACTGCATCTCTTCAATGTCACCTGCCGGTATAACGTCTGAAACAGTAACTGATTGCCAATAGCAACAGGTATATTTAGGAATGTGTCCATTCTTCACAAATATACCAGCTTGTATGTGGCAGTCTAGCTGTAATTTAGCAGTAATCGACACAGCATGCACCCATACTGCAGTATTTCAACCTTGGTACTGTAGCAGATTGTAACAGCCTCTACAGTGAGATCACACCTCAGCTGGAGTGCTTTAAGTCACCGTGCCAGTGCCCTCAAACAACATGGAAGGAAGCTATTATTATTATTGTTGTTGTTGTTGTTGTTGTTGTTGCAAGAATTTCCTGAAACACACTACCAATTTCACAGACGGTGAGGCATTTATTGACATTCTTCGAAAACAACTGATCAGGTCAAGTAAATGTTTCTGTCATATACAATGAAAACGAAAATAGAAAAAAGCAATTTGCAAGAATAAAAGTGTCAATTGCAGTTTTGTTTTGTTAACTGCATCAATTACGTCCAGGACAATGACTATAAACAAAGTCAATTGTGGTTGTCAGCAACTAATCAACATCAGGTTTGATAGTCTTCTCACATCGAAGACACCAGACGCTGCCAAAATCGTTTTCGCGCCGCTACCAGATTTAATTCTGTCAGTAATCAATGTTTCCTCCACAAAATTGTAACTGATTGTGTGCCATCTAACCTGCTGTCAAAATCACATCCCCAAATTGACATCTGAACCGTGGCAAATTCGATTGGCTTAAAGAGAGCTATTGCACGGTAATGAACCACCTCTGCTAAATCGGTCCTCACGCAGTCGGTGTCGTCTGTATGCAAAATATGCACGAAATGTCAGAGAACTCAACTCTGGAGACAGATAGCAGGAGACGCCCAGGGTTATGATTATTTTAGAAGATTCAGGATGTTACACACAACAACTCAAAAACAACTGCAGAGGATGTTCACTGCTCCACATGATAAAGATAGATGTTTTTTAAATGCTTCATAATTTTGCCTTTTGTCAGTCAGCGTGTTAAAGGAACTTTAAGTTTAAAAGATTATATTAAAAAATACACTGACAGTAATTTGGTTAAAGGATAATAAAATGAGTCATTTTAATGCTTAGAATAGAACGTTAATGTAGGATATAATTACTATCATTATTAAAATTTATGGAAGTTTATAATCACTTTAAGGACTTTGAAAACAGCTTGGCAACAACCACTCTCAGTGTCAAATAATACTGAAGTGTGGTACGATTTACTACTTGATCAAGGAAACAATCATAGCTGTAAGTATTTGTCTTTTTAATCAGTGACAAACAGCGTCTGTGGCTGTCTTCTACAGCCACGGTCGATTTTACTACTTCCTACAGTGAAAGTCATTGAATCAGGTTCAGCGGCTGAGGTTATGATCCAGTCTTTTTTTTACTGCGCCACTATTTGGTGTGATTTAATGTTTTCACGGTACTTAACTCTCTGAAGTTTTCCTCCGATTTTTTTTTTATACAGTCATTTTTTGCAGCAGTGGTTTTCCATAGACTATTGTAATAAAAATGACTCAACTTTTAAAATTAAGAATAAAGAATGTTGAAACACGCTTATTTAAAGGCTCTTAAAGGTCACCGGATGCTATAAAAACACAAATAGTTTGTGTTGGCTAACATTTGGAATGGTATTCTGAGCACGTCAGGACCTGCACTGCAGTAACTGTGGAAATATTGAACCAAAAAGCCTTTACTTTTGTTCAACAACATTTTCTTTTTGTTCTATCAGTAACCACAAAACAAAAGCAGAATGTGGTTTTATATTTAATGAGTACAAAAGAAAAGAATTCAGACTGAATG